TAGGTTTTTAGGAAAATAAAAAGAACACAGATACTCAAAACAGCACTGTTGAACTTCTCCTAATGTTAGCAATCATATTGAAAACAGCACTATATAGGAATGATTGGGTGAAAAAAAAATGTCAATTTACACACTCTTTTGCAAAATATTTTTGCCAATTTTTGCTTCCTTAGATCTGCACAGGAGCTACAAGGCTAATGTAGCTAATGTAACCATAAATACATACCCAAATCTTCATAAACTAACCAATCAAGCTACACATTTATTCATTTATTCATATTCAGTAAGCATTTTATACTGGTCAGCATCATAGTGGATCCAAAGTCTATGGCATCAGTAGTAAAACAATCATGTTAACCAACTACAGTATACGTGTTGATACCAAATTAAGCTATGGGGGAAAAACAGGTTGTCTACGATGGCTGCATCCATAATGTTGAAGTTCTGTTGAAGATCTGTTCATATTTCTATATTACAGTAAATACACTGTGTCATAAACCATCACACACCACAAGTCTGACATTACTGAAGAACTGGATGTGGGTTGAGATATATTTACGGTGTGTGTGGGCATTTATTTATGGAGGAGATTTTTTGTGACTCAGATTTGTCTAGCCACATAGTCCCAGTGCAAACATAAGGATACCAATAATGTCCTAGCTGAGTGCCAGGATTTGGGGTAAGTATAAAATTATATCAATTTAATTTTTTGCCAAATCATTCCTTTAATGTGTGTGTGTGTGCGTGCGTTTTTCAGGCTTTTTCCCCCTCCAAAAGTAATTGTACTTCTTTTTCAGCATGTAAATCAGTAGTCACAACCCTGCTGTCTGAGTGAGCCAGCTAGCTAAGTATATTTTACTGCATCTTGTCTCAGCCATATACATATAACCAGCAGTGTGTTTCAGCCCCATACCTCATGTTCCACTCTAGTGTCCTTATGGATACAACTGTGGACAAATTACTACCTCGGGCGCCTGGGAAAAGCAGATTTTGTGTCCGGGCTATTAGTTTTTAATTTGCAGTGTCCCAGTAGACAAATTCAACAACCAGAAAAGGTACAAAAAAAAAAAAAAAAAAAAAAAAAAAAAAAAAAAAAAAAAAAAAAAAAAAAAAAAAAAAAAAAAAAAAAAAAAAAAAAAAAAAAAAAAAAAAAAAAAAAAAAAACCCTACTCCTTATTGTCTTTCAAAAAGCAAAAGTTTTCTTTGGGAATGTGGCTACATTTAAACTTAATGTGCTTCACGGAGGTGTGAAGCACCTCGATGCTGTAACTATAGCGCACACTACTCGCTGGATCCCACCACCTGCTGCTGTACACACATCCATTGAGGTCCACGCTTACTAACAGTCAAATGATTTCTACTGGGTACTGACAAAATAAAGTTCAGTGTAAAGCTGAAAAATAACTTTCCTGCTAGCACAACATGCAGTCATATTGCATTTTAAGAGAAAATACAGATGTTAGCTAGACTGAATGATATTGTTTACATGCGTTGTGAAGACAAAACACAGCCGAAAGTTTGGTCAAAAACTTTTTATCAAGGGTGCAAATGCAATGTGTGATATAATCATATAGTCAATACAATCAATACTTATTCATTTCCCTTAGTCGGTATTACTGCACCTAATTAGCTAACTAGCTCATCATACACTATTACATTATATTAACTACTACATTTTAGCCTATGAGTTTTCCAGGCAACCAAAGCAAGACTGAGCAGCACAATGGAGCGCCCACTTGTCCAATGGGCTAACTAAGGAGGATTGGAGTTACCAAAAGGGCACAGTGTCCAGATATAAACACTAGTCAGCAGAAAAGTACACTTGGGCTACAGAAGGGCTGGTGAGGCCGCAACTGATAATACAAATAGCAGACACAAAATCTTCTTTTACAGTGGACACATTCATTCAGCCTACATCAAAACCACAGTAAGCTAATTTATAATATCCACACACATCTAGTTGATATGCCTCTATCTTTACAACACAAGCAATAAGCCACAGTATCTCCTAACCCAATATGTGTACAAATGAACCAGAGATAATGTACAGTCTTTCAACGCAGATGCTATTACAGTAAACAGACTCGTCTTCGGCTGAACAGGTTATTTGGCTCCAGGGAAAATTGAACTTGCATGTGCTCCCTCAGAGACTACTATATCCCTCCCTAAGTGCTTATTTGGGTCACAAAGTCCAAATCCTGGCCTGATCCCAACAAAGAGAGATTTCTGCATAACTTCAAATGTCAAATCATTTGGCAAGACTACATATAAAAGTGAACCGGAGGCACCTGTTGCTAAGATACGGGAAGATGCATGTTCATTTCCTGAAAACAACTACTGCGGCATTCAACATCATGGGCAGAAATTCTGACAATGCAGAAAGTTTGGGTTTAGAAAGGAATTCCAAACGATGCATGCACAAGCATTATAGACCTTCTATTTTTATTATACTGAGGAGAAATTATAAATTCAAATTCATATACTACTGTACAGAATTATAATTGAGCATCCATCCACTTCAAAATCCTGTACTCTGAATGTTTCATGTAAAATAGAAAATGCAACACTGATATAGTTGACAGAAAAGAAGACAGGCATGTCTAACAACATGAGTAAGTCATGCTTTGAATGCTCATTGCGTACGGCACTCAGCTATAACAGTTCCTGAGAGCAGTTTCCATTCCCTCACCAGTTTATGGAACCAAAAGTGACGATTCTCGTTCAACTGTACTTATTCAACTTCCAGACAGCCATGAAAATGGAATGGCCGCAAATAACAGCCAGATTAGACATTCACAAACATGATTAATGACTCTGAGACTTTCAATGTGTGCAGAATATTAACAAACATGTATTCAAAAATAGAAGCTCAACAACGGTCTACAACCCCAGTATACCGATAATGATCAATGTCAAGTGAATTCCCTTCCCTGAAAAGAGAATTTCTCTCTCTCTCTGAATTTCTGAGAGTACTTGGATTGACCTCAGATAACGTGGACTTCGGAAACTTTCAATAGACTATTCAAGTTTAGTCAGAAACTCTAAGGTGTGAAAATGTGGGTTATAAAAACTATGAGGTATGTTATATTAAAAGAGCAACAATCTAGAAAACACTTTAAGGTGTTTCCTAATGTTCTTTATGTCTATTTCTTTCTAAACCTAATGCATAACCATTTTAGTGACGTGGTATAGGGATATGATTACCTTCATCATCATTATCCTCAGGCTGGCTTTCTAAATATGCCATTAACCAAAAAAAAAAAAGAAAGTGCCATTAAGAATGTGGGAAATGCAGGGAAAATGCAAAGTTACTGTAAAATGTTCTCTTTTATTCTTCTCTCTACCTTAAATAAGATACACAGTATGTCTGACATGCATTCACACACACACACGCACACATACACATACATATATATATACATATACACACACCGATCAGCCATAACATTATGACCACCTACCTAATATTGTATTGGTCCCCCTTTTGCTGCCAAAACAGCCCTGACCTGTCGAGGCATGGACTCCACAAGACCTCTGAAGGTGTGCTGTAGTATCTGGCACAAAGACGTTAACAGCAGATCCTTTAAGTCCTGTAAGTTGCGAGGTGGGGCCTCCATGGATCGGACTTGATGGCCAGCACACCCCACAGATGTTCGACTGGATTAAGATCTGGGGAATTTGGAGGCCAAGCCAACACCTAGAACTCTTTGTCATGAATGCCAGGACCCAAAGTTTCCCAGCAGAACATTGCCCAGAGCAAGCCTCCGCCAGCTTGCGTTCTTCCCATAGTGCATGCTGCTGCCATCTCTTCCCCAGGTAAACGATGCACATGCACCCGCCTTCCACATGATGTAAAAGAAAATGTGATTTATCGGACCAGGCCACCTTCTTCCATTGCTCTGTGGTCCAGTTCTGATAATCACCTGTCCATTGTAGGCACTTTTGGCAGTGGACAGAGGTCAGCATGGGCACTCTGACAGGTCTGTCGCTACACAGCCCCATACTCAGCAAGCTGCTATGCACTGTGTTCTGACACCTTTATATCATAGCCAACTTTAACTTTTCAGCAATTTGTGCTACAACAGCTCTTCTGTGGGATCAGACCAGACGGACTAGCCTTTACTCCCCACGCGCATCAGTGAGCCTTGGGCACCCATGACCCTGTCGCTAGTTCACCAGTTCAACGCTAGGTACTAACCACTGCATACCGGGAACAGCCCACAGGGCCTGCCGTTTTAAAGATGCTCTGACCCAGTCATCTAGCCATCACAATTTGGCCGTTGTCAAAGTCTCTCTAATCCTTACGCTTGCTCATTTTTCTTGTTTCCAACACATCAACTTCGAGAACCGACTGGTCACTTGCTGCCTAATATATCTCAACCCTTGACAGTTGCTACTGTAATGAGATAATCAATATTATTCACTTTACCTGTCAGTGGTCATAATGTTATGGCTGATCAGTGCATATATATAGCTCATTTATCAGATCCTCTAGTGTAGCATCTACTGACCTCCTTTTCTTCAGAAACAACTACTGATCTGCATGACCTGTAAATGCAGGGTGTCAGGAAGTCTGGAGTGTCCTAGAGGTGTCAGTGTAGACGAGCACAAAACTGTCCAGACAGACATAAGAGAGTCTGCAGGTTTTCAGGACAGTATAGAGTTGTACTGCAGCCTTAAGTTTTTTCAACTAATCAGCTAATTACCAGTGTCATCCTGAGTGGATAGAGGTTTGTTAGAGCAGGCAAAACAGTAATTTGTCAGGGTCATGTTGGATCCGGAGCCTATCCCAGGAACACTGAGCCTGAGGTGGGAATACACTCTGGATTGTATGCCAATCCATCGCAGTACACACACACACACACACACTTGACATCAAGGGGCAATTCAGAGCAGCCAATCCACCTACTGAAATGGAAAGTGGGAGGAATATTTCTCATTATTTATCATAATGAGTAATATTAGATACATCTGTCTATATTCACTCCCCGCACAGTCCCTACCAGACCTGAGACTCGAACCCACAACCTTCGGGTTACAAGTCCGACTCACTAAGCATTAAGCCACGACTGCCCCTAAGTACCAAGAAGAATTTCTTCACATGCATTTTCCCCTGTGTCCACACTAGACAATGAGAGAGGAAGTATGCGAGAGAAGGAGAGCGGAGCAATTCTGTTAGGGAAAGGAAAAGTGTGAGAACGTGTGGGAGATTTCACAGCATGATAGTGTTGGTCAACATAAATTGAAATGCTAAACAATCAAAACAAACCTAGTTTGAATCTCGAGAACATATCCTCACCATGACCTCAGATCCTTCTGCCTAAACGCTGTGAGCTTCAGTTACACAGCTATTATAGGACGTGAAGCAATTTTCACTCTCTCGTTCTGATCTGTAGGGCCCGAAAATAAGTTTGGAGCGATTAGATTTCACTCCTCATTAATTTTTTCAGCCAGTGTGAAAAAAGTGCTTTATGGAATTAGCAACTGCAAAGAATGAGACAAGAGGTGAAAGCCTACTGTTCTCAGATCAGTTCAAGATCCTGTTATAGCAGCTTGGGCTCTGAATCTCAGGTGTAAAGGTGTAAAGGTGTGTAATCAGCCAGGGGTGAATGTCATTCTACAGCCTTTTAGGTCAGCGGCGTGGATGAATTTGCCTTTGCTGCTCTGAAAATTGGGCAGTCAAGATGGCTCTCACTATCAGTAACTTCTGCATTAATGAATGCAGATTAGAGGAGGGGCATTATAAATGGATCAGGAGAGTGATGGTGGTGAGAGCACGGCCGCTGGGGCTCGGAGCGTTCATGAAGCTAGAGAACAGGCACACAGCTTTGTTCTATAGACATGCATGTACAGAAATGGCTGTAACAGTGTAAAATATTTTTTGAATAAAATATGAAAATCATCATGAGAAGATCACAATTTTTGTAATAAACAGTAAGGTTGATGCTTTGAGGGAAAAAAATGAAAGAATTTAATTACTGCTTTGCATGAGGACATCACTCAAGGTTTTTATTTTGAGTTAGTATTCCCCAGCTAGTGTTAGCTCACAGCAAAGTTTTGCTTGTACTGTTTATCAAGTGCAGCCATTGTCCTATCAAAGTGAGTACTAAACTACATGAAAAATCTTGTCTGTGATTTTAATGATTAATAAAAATAGGTCGTCGCTAAACTGAAGAAACTATGCTAGGTACACATTTCACTTTTACAATCTATGATTTCTCACATTTTCTGCAACTCTTTTTAATCTAAAAAAAAACATTCTCACATTGTATCCAGTTTAACTGTACTATATACAGTATGTTGTTGGAAACATCTGAAAACTATTATTGCATTTTTTAAACATATGGCCCTTTTACGTCAGAATATTTTGACGTATTTATGGCATATGGTTTTGCTGGCAAATTTTTTTTGACAAAAGGCAAAATTTCACCAGCTCATAGCATCACATCCACCGGCAGCACAGTGGCCGTCCTGGCACTTGCCGGGTTCACTGGCACCTGCTGCCCAGTACTAAAGCACAGGCATGGGGTGAGTGTGACCTCTGGTGTTCTCATTTGGAGAATCTGTGCACGGTATAAATATAGGCATTTTTGTGTAGTTAAGTGCAGTTAAGGCTAACGTGTTTTACATGAGACAAAATTAAACAGTGAACTGTACAGAACAACAGAAACAAAGATCTAAATGGAGGGCAGGAGAAGACAGGTAGTAACCTAGGGCCATGAGAGCAGAAATATGAGGAAATTAGCCTGTGTGTGTGTGTGTGTGTGTGTGTGTGTGTGATCAAGGGCAGTAGGATGAATGCAATGTTCTTTACCATCCACTGCATTTGAGTGATTTTCCGGAATGAAGCATGTATGGACACAAGAGCAGAGTAACACATAAACCAAGAACACGAGCAATGGTGCACACACACACACACACACACACACACCTCACATACACGAATATGGGCGAAAAGGAAAAGAGTAAGGGAGGTAGAAAGAGAGAGCGTGAACTCTTCAGGGTATCTAGCTTAGTTCATTCATAATTGTTAGTTTCACTCTCTTTCACAGACACACATTCATTCATTTCTCTCTTCATGACATCAAGCAATGAAATATAATCTTTGTCTATTTCGAACATTGCTGCACATTCATGAAAACTCAAACTTTAGTACAGAATGAACAGTCAATCTTAAATGGAAAGACCTCCACTAACACTCTACAGCTGGACATGTCACTTTGCTAGCTCAGATTAAGAGAATGCATGGACCCCTGTTACAGCAGAGCTTAATCATATTATAGCACATATGGCACATATAAACTGAGGGACTGCATTAGTAACGTCTGCAGAGTACTACTGTGTGCTAATTTAGAACATTAATAGTTGAGAGTGTGCGTTACAAAGGCATTCATTTTATTGTATAGCTCATTATCAGTAACAACTCTAAGACAAGGACAGAATTGGCACCACAGATGATTATTGGCTACAGGCTCCGCCCCTTCCTTTCCATAGTGCAGGATGGGACAAGTTAGTGCGAATATGTGATTTGAGACAAAGCTTATATTTCCTTTTGATAAAATATTAAGACCACATGAGTAATACACAACAGCCAAGCTGAAAAACTACCAAAGAATAATTTTTAAACTAAAAATTATTAGAAAAAGTAGCAATCAGGATGAATAAAGCTTTAAAAGATACATAAAATAAATTACAATTATAAATAAGTAATTTATAAATAAAAATCAATAAAATAAATAATAAATAAAAAATTAGAGTTATCAGGAAAACATGCAACTTGTTATCTGTTACTATACAGTTTTTTTTTAATTGATGAGAACAGTTTGCAGTTGTTGTTGGTCTAATCTTTTTTCATAAAACATTTAGTTGGTCAATGATCTAGAAGAACCCCTGATACCCATAATAACCTCAGAAAGTGTGCTGTGACAACATTGAGCACAATATTGATAACATATCATCACCCAGGCCCAACACCACACTACACTCTCAGTATACAGTCTACCTGCTCACACTCCACATTTCATCCTGTTGCTTAACAAATAAATCTATAGCGACAGAAATAGAATATAGCAATGATTGACTTGCTCATGAGTGTCACAGGGAGGCGGTACTAACCTTTGACCCTTTCTCCACGGTTCAGCTGGATCTCTCCCTCTCCCTGGGGTGTGTAGGGCTTCACCACGATGAAGGTACGCCCGGGCACAGCACTGTAGAGTTTCCTTTTGGGCCCGCGGGCGCCGGTGAGTGTGTGCGAGGGCCCGGCGGGTGGAGGGCTGACATCCCGCTGCACCGTCCCAGGGCTGTAAACAAAAACATAGGTTACCGTGGTGATGCCAGGCAGCTGGTAGCCAAATGCGGTGGTCACTGACATGGTCCCGTAAAGTACGAGCGGGCGTGTGTGGCTACACACACACATAAACAGGTGCGTGTGCACACACACGCTCGGTGTGTGCAGGTCCTCAGTAGTCCTGGACCGGCCAGGCCGTCACGCAAAAGCAGCTCGCTGATCTCCCGCTCTTTTCCTCCTCCTCCCTTCTCCTCCTCCTCCTCTTCCTCTCCTCTCCTCCCTCACACCCGTTAGAGGCTGCCTGTTGTGCGGCGCGCCGAGAGCTCGGGCGAGCTGGGCATGTCCGCTCCCCACGGCTCTCACTTGCACGCAAGCACACACGCTCGCGCTGACGCGGCTGCGCTCTCTCGCAGTGCCTGGGCTCACACACTCCCGCACACACACTCCCTCTCTGCACATTCTATCCCGCACGCCAAGCGTCAGCAATGACAACGCGCCGGTGCCGGGGGGTCTGGATTGATGAGCGTGGGGAGTGAGATGTACCCCCCACCCTAAACTGACAGCCACGCAAACATTCACACACACACATGCACACACACATACGCACGCATACACACGCGCACACACACACACACACGCACAGCTCCCACTGCCGTAATCAACAAACGCCCCTCCTCTCTCTCCCTCTCTCTCCTTCTCTCTCTCTCTCTCCCTCTCTCCTCTCAGACTTCCTGCCCTCCCCTCTCCTGCAATTTCTCTCCATCTCTCTCTCTTTCCTTCCACAGCTTGCTAGCTGCTTACCCTCTCTCTCTCCCTCTCTTCATCTGTCCCTCGTTCTCATCGAGAGACAGGTTCTGAATGTTAATGCAGCTGCAGGCTGAGTAGCCGCTGCTCTACGTCTGTCTCATTCATCTCAGAGCTTTCCCACTTGCCCATTCATCATGCACACACACACACAGCCGCACACACATCTCTTTTCCTCCACTTACAGTAACATAGAGAGAACAACCTATACATCATCCCAGAACGTATGCTTATTAACGCAACAAAAATCTGCTTCTTTACCCCCTGATTTCCTAACACAATGTGCAGCTGTGATGCCTGCCCTTCTTTCTTCCTCCCTTTTGCTCTTTCTCCTGCACTCTCTCTGTCATCTACCAGTGCTTTAACTTTCGTCGAGCTCTCATTTGAGTCATTTATGTTATTTTTCCTCCATCAGGTTTCCTGTAGAAAAAAATCTGATTCATTTCCTATTTTCCTTCACCAGCAAAATCCATCAACACTCTCAGACTTTATGTCCCCCCCCTTACTCCAGTCTGGATGTTGAGCTCAGTGACGGCTTTCCAATTACTGCAGGGATGCATGGAGCGGACGGACTGCAGCTTGCAAAGACACAGCAACCAGCGAGAGACAGACAGAGAGAAAAGAAGGAGTGAGGCAAAAGAATGAGAGGAAATAAGAGGATGAGTAAGACGAGAGAAGAGATATGAGACAGGGCAGAGAACAGAAAGATGGGCTTTTAAGAGATAATAATAGAGAGGGAATGAAGACACTGGAAGAGAAGAGAGAGAGAGAGAGAGAGAGAGAGAGAGAAGGCTGACACAGAGGGAGAGTTGTCACGGTTCGCTCTGATTCCATATCGATCAGTGTGAAGTGCCAGTCCATAATAAACAGCACTGAAAATCATCGCCCAGCTCTGCAGTAACATCCCATGTCACACACATCAGTCCACATGCACACAGACGTCTGACTCATGACTTTTCTATTTTCTATTCTTTTCAGTTATA